TCTCTCTCTCTCCCTTCCTCTCTCTCCCTCCCACTCTATCTGTACAAAAAATGGAAAAATATCCTCAGGTGAGGAAAAAAAAAATGCAACTTGTATAGTACAATCAATGTACATAATTTAACACGAACAACTGTGATAAAGTTCATGCACACACAGCCAAGGGCCAACCACCATTCCACTGTCCCCCTGTGGTCACAAGATATATTTCATTTTAGAGTTGTTAGGCTGAGAAAAAGCAAGTTTCTTAGAATGGATGACATTTTGGAAACATGAAACTAGCAGTGATCAAGAGGGAACCCAGCCCAGAAAATGCTAGATAGATTATACTCTTCCACGCAGGCTCAGATGTGATCAGCCAATATGGGCATCATTTAGGTGCTCAATATTTGATAGCCACGGTGTTTAGTGTTTTTAATATCTAAGTGCATACCCAACACTGCACTGGGTTAGGTAGTTTCATTCTCATTTTATAGATGAGGAAATTGAACTCAGAGATGTTAGTAATGTGGTCCAAAGTCACAAAAGTAGCAGGTGATAGAGCCCAAATAAAAACCTGGATGTGTCTGACTCCAGAATCCATTATATTTCCACCATACCAGTTTCCATACTGGCCTTATATTACTCAAGTTCTGATGGCAACTGTAGTTGTAGTTCACCTGGTCTAGGTATTCCTGGAGGGTATTTCTCAAGTCAGAATTTTATGGAGATGATGTAGAACTGTCTACAGTGACTGCAATCACAATATGATATGAGAACTATACACAAGTGACAAAATAGTGAACATGGCATATATACGTATATACATACAACTACCAGCTGGGAAGTTAGTTTAGGCTTATGTACAGAAAGAAAACTCTCAGGCTTCTCACAATCCTCCATTTCATAAACATTGAGTCTACATAACTTCCTTTGTCACATTATCAAATATCCTTGTTGGCTATAGGAGCCCAGGATTCCACTGTTTGGCAGTTTCAGGCCAACTGTGAGCTATGGACTTATGACTGGTTCCGTTCGCCAGGAGACCATGATTGGGATCAGCTCAGACATGGACAGCAGCCCTCTGACCATGTCACCCACTGAGTTTAGCTAAAAGAACTCTTTCTAAGCCACGGACCTCACATTTGAAATAAGAGTAAGGATTAGTATTGAAATGTTCTTGAGACTGTACTATATACTTTATTTTCTATTTTTGTTTCTTTCACAAAAGGCTTCATCATGAAAAGGAGGAAGCCCAAACTGCAGTGAATTACAACGCTGTCTCCAAGAGAGGATTGTGGCTCGACCCTGGATTGAGGTAAGGTGTGAGGGTGCACGCGGATGAGACCGTGTTGAGCTACACCACCCCGCTCTCCTTCCCCTCATTTCTCTTTCTTCCTTTCTCTTACCCTTCCTTTCCTACGAGCTTCACTATCCAGGCTTTCCTCTCCTCTTTCCCTCTTCCGGGAACTCAGTGTACCAAAGAGGCTGTTTGTGACGATCCACTTTTCTAGATCCAAGAAGAAACGCGGGAACTGATCTGAGAGTCTGAGCTGAGAGGGACAGATTGTCAGAGGACACAGCTTTTCTGGGCTACAAAGGGTGCACAGTTGTTGTGATGTTGCTTGTCAGCCTGACCTGTAAGGCTGCTGACCTTTGCTTCCTGCCTCCATTACACCTTGCTCTTCTTTAAAAATGCTCTTTCCGCCCTGGCTGGTTTGGCTCAGCGGTTAGAGCGTCGGCCTGCGGTCCTGGGAGACCCGGGTTCGGTTCCCGCTAAGGGCACGTACCTCGGTTGCAGTTTGTCCCCGGCTCTGGTCAGTTGTGCGGGTGGCAACCACTCGATGTGTCCCTTCACATCGATGTTTCTCTCTCTCTGTTCCTCTCTCTCTCTCCCACTCTACCTGAACAAAAAATGGAAAAATGTCCTCGGGTGAGGATAAAAAAAATAAAAATAAAAAAATAAAATAAAATAAAATAAAATGGCTCCACTTAAAAAAATAAAAAAATAAATAAAAATGCTCTTTCCTAATGATTTCTTGCCATAGTCTGGGAGATCTTCAAATATTTGGGCCCCCGGAGAATCCAGCTGAGAGTCGGAGTCCTTGCTGTGACCTCCAGTTCTCTCAGGCATTGCCTCCCAACCTGTCAGCGGCGATGGAATGAACGTCTTGTCCTCCTGGATAAGTTACAGAGAGAATACGTAAATGACAAGGGGCTTTCTTCACCATTCCATCACTATGAAAATTCTTGCACAGCTTTTGTAAAGTTCTGTCCTTAGAAACCTGGAGTGGTTTAATATACCTTTTTCATGCATGGCCTGAACCTCAGAATTCATCCATGTCCCCTCCCCCATCCTCTCCTCTCCACCTTCTTTTACTTTCTCTTTCTTTGTATTATTATTCCCAGTATATTTTTTAAAACAATAAAATATTTACAGACATATTTCCTGAATCTTTTGAGGACAGTTTTCCAACTCAGTGCCCTATTAACCCCAAATGCTTTTGTTTGTGTTTCCTACAAGCAAAGGTGTTCTTCTGCATAGCCAAAATATAACCATCAAAAGCAGACATGAACATCGCATATTACCCCAGCTAGGCCTGAGGCCCCATTCAGGTGTTGCCAATTATCCCGATAAGGACCTGCACAGCTGGAGGATCCAGTTCAGAATCACACGCTGCGTCTCTTTAGTCTCCTGCAGCCTGGGACAGTGCCATCGTCTTCCTCTGACTTTCATTACGTTGACATTTTTTAAGATCACAAGCCAGCTATTTTGTCGTATGTCCATGAATTTGGATGTGTCTGGTGTTTCCTAATGATGGGATTCAGGTCATGCATCTTTGAGAGGAACATCCCAGAAGGATGCTGTGTCTCATCACATCCTGTACGGCGTGCACTGTTTTGATTTGTCCCATTCTGACAGTGTTCACTACTCACTTAATTAAGAGGTGTCTGCCTGGCTTATTCACTGTTAAGTTATTTTTTTCCCCCTTTGAAATTAATGAATATGTTGGTTTGAACTATGTAAATATTCTGTTCCTCATCAAACTTTTAATTAATTTATTTATATCAGTACAGAGTCTCACGGTCTCCTGTTGTATTAGATCAATTCCCCAGATGAAGCCAATTCCCCACCTCCTCCACCATCCACGTGGATGCCCTCCTCACCCTGCCCAGGCTCTGATTCCGTGCACCAGGCTGTCCCCCGTCCTCGTAATGGAGGCCCTCTTGCCTCCCTTGGGTTCTGGGCTGTAGCTCCCCACTCCTCCCACTACAGAGTGCTGCCTCTCTGTTCAGCTAATGGCTTTAGAACTAAACTGTTTAGGAAGGGACGAGAACAGCAAGAAGGGGGAGGACACCTTCTGTGTTCTTTGGTTCTCCCTCCTTTCTCCTCATTTCCATTCATCCCGACCTATCCTGAGCCCTATCATCCTCGGCAGTCCTCACATCCGTCTTCCCAAGCACTCAAAGCAGGACTGAGTCTTGAGCAATAACCTAAGTTCCTCTGGGCAGACTACGAGGGTCGAATTCCTCGTGGGACATTGGGAGGGCTCCTTGCCCTCTCCAAGCCTCGACCGCATGGCGCCTCAGATGAATGTCCTACTGATTCTACTTCGCGGTGTTACCAGACTCAAGTGCGCTAGGGCATAGAAAGCCTTTATTGCCTCCCACATAACAAGCACTAAATAAAGTCTGTTGATTATATTTTCCTTCCTCTCTGTGTGAGGTGGAAGTTGTCTTACCTCTTTTTTTCTTTTTCCCCTGAAGGCTTTCTTTTGCCTCACTCTTTCTAAGTTTTGGCTTCTCTGGACTATTTTACCTTCTTGCTCTTCTTGACTCATTTTACTTCCCATAAGTTCATGCATAAGACACGGAGAGGGAGACATTCATTGATCGCCACCAGCAGACGTTCTGCGGGCAGTTCCCACGCTCACCACGCCCAGTCACGCGCGGCTCGGCTGTCAGGCCGCGGTGGTCTCTGCGCCCCGGCCCAGGCTGGGAGCAATGAGCCGTGTTCACTACTTACCCAGTAGCTTAGGCTGCAGGGGGAGAGGAGTCTCGGAGACGGACTGAGGTGGAAGTAGGTGCAGAGGAGCTACTGCTGGCCAGTGAAGTGCTCTTCCTCGGATCGGCATGGAGTTTGTGCTGAGGGAGGGCGATCTTTGGAACATTTGAACAGAATTACACCCTGGGGTCTGTTCCCGTCTCGGAATTCTGTGACCTGACAGATGAAAGGCACACCCCATGACGCTGACCCATTGCTGTCTGTTGAAGCGTGTCCAGAGAAGCAAGTGAACGACTGCCGTTGATTGTATCAATACCCACTATTTACCTCCCGACCAAGAGCTGAGCCTTGGTCACAGGTGACTGACCAGGAAGAAATGTTCTCAGTTTAGTGCAGTTTTATACCCTCCTTACCGAAGATGACTTGCGTGCCCTGGATGATGGAAAGGGTGCTGGTACATTTGTCGGGAAGGTTGCAAATAATGGTTTAGGAGACCTGGGCACGTGTTGTGAGGCCTCCTGAGGGCCTTTCCCGACCACCCGAATTAGGTGGTTGTTGCCAGCCCTGCACCCCAGGGGCTTGTTACTCCACATGTCTGTGTTCGTGTCTTTGTAGCCATTATCATCCAACATCTTTATTTTTTTTAATTAATTTTTGAGAGAGAAACATGGATTTGTGCATTTGCACTTATTTATGCATTCATTGGTTGCTTCTTATATGTGCCCTGACCAGGGATCGAGCCCACAACCTTGGCATATGGGGACGACACTCTAAGCAACTGAGCTACCTGGCCAGGGCCACATCTCTGTTCTTCTAGTGTATACACTGAGGGGAGGATCTTATCAGTCCTGCTCGATGTGTCTCCGGCGCTCAGCGCATCACCCAGCATATCGGAGGTGCTGGAAAATGTGTTGAATGAATGAATACGTGAAGCTACGTAGGTGTGATATTAATTTTTTCTGCCTCTGCTCATTGTCCTTCCACCTCATCAGCCCTCCGGTGTCCGTGTGCAGGCACAATGAAGAAGAGCGGCAGGAAGCCTGCCCCGAGGGTCCCGGAGCAGGAGGCCTTCTGTGTGCTGCCCTCGCCCGGCCCAGGCCATCTCCAGACTACCCTGGACGGGGGAGAGTACGCCCTTTTCGTCTCCCCTCCCATGTTAGAGGGCAATTTTATCCAGGTAACTGTCTGAGCCTTGAATCATGAGTAACTTCAGTCATTAACTTACTCAGGGACGACTGACAAACTTGGGAGGGGAATTGTTTTTAATGTGGCGATGGAATGTGTGCTGCAGTTAAAGGGAGCAGTTTGGGAACATTGAAGGACTGAAAATAATTATAATGTTAAGCAAAAATTTATTTCCAGTTTTCCCAACTCTAACCTAGGAATTCTGCCCTACCTTGACCATAATTTTCTATCTTAATCTTCCCAAAATTACATGAAGAGACAACGATCATTTTCAGGATGTTCTGCCACAGGAAAGCATCCCGTAATTCCTTTCTTAGACTTGGACGACATTTTAAAGAATAACGTCTATGACACAACTAGGGTTTAAAGAGAACTAAATTGGCTCTTAGCTTGGAGGGTAAACTATACTCTTCAGATTGTGTCAGGGAGAAAAGATTTTTGTTTTGTTTTGTTTTTTTGTTGTTGTTGTTTTGTTTTGTTTTTTTCATAAAAATGTAACTCCATTATGAATGAAACTACATTTCAGTGCATTTGGGAGCCATTCTAACTTCCCTTTGAGCATGCAACATTAAAATGTTCTGACAAAGACACGGGAAAATGAGTTCAACGGCTTGAGCCATACCCCTAAACTTCACTGAAATGCCACAGCTGAGTCTAACATGAAACGCGCCCATTCAAGCCACCCCCCAGCTGATGCCACAGAGGGGTGCCGGGGAGGGCCACAGACGCACAGGGGGGTGCCGGGGAGGGCCACAGACGCACAGGGGGGTGCCGGGGAGGGCCACAGACGCACAGGGGGGGTGCCGGGGAGGGCCACAGACGCACAGGGGGGGTGCCGGGGAGGGCCACAGACGCACAGGGGGGGTGCCGGGGAGGGCCACAGACGCACAGGGGGGGTGCCGGGGAGGGCCACAGACGCACAGGGGGGGTGCCGGGGAGGGCCACAGACGCACAGGGGGGGTGCGGGGGAGGGCCACAGACGCACAGGGGGGGTGCCGGGGAGGGCCACAGACGCACAGGGGGGTGCCGGGGAAGCCAGACAGTCTTCGCCTTCCATAAACACGCTCTCTGCACTGCCCCTCCTCCCCTCCAGAACCGTAGGCAGGACGCGATGCCTTGAGGAACAGTAACGTTTCAGTGATGCCCCAAACGTGTGATAAGTCACAATTTTATGTACTTTACTCTCCATATGCTTCTTTCCTACTACTAATTTTTTTATTTTATTGTTCACACTTCTTCCTACACACTTTTCAAATGACCTGTGCGTGCTCTAATGAACACGGGGGAGGCAGCTAGCATTCTGTGGGCCATCCGTGACCCCGTATCAGACGTAACTTGAACAGGCAGTGAGTTACTAGGGTTCCTGACTCAAGTTTAAATGAAAAAGAACAACAATGACCTCAAACAGAGTGTGAGAGCCACAGGGCATCAGCTCACCCACAGGGAGTCATCAAGGACCCCGGTTGGCTCTTCTCACTCTGTCACCCTGTTAGCTCCCCTCACACATCCATGCAAACGAGTGAGTACTGGACAAAACCAGAATTCTGTTCACGGGGAGAAGAGCATGGTGCTGGGTAGATAACCCACTGTGGGGGCTATGACGTCTTCCAGAGTGTACTGGTTATTTTTTTATTTTTCTTATCCTCACCTGAGGACATTTTTGCATTTTACCTTTGATGTGAGAGAGACACATGGACTGGTTGCCACCCACACGACCCCAGCCAGGGCGGGGACAAACTGCAACCGAGGTAGGTGCCCTTAGCAGGAACCCAACCCGAGTCTCTCTGTCCACAGGCCAACGCTCTAACTGCTGAGCCAAACTGGCCAGGGCCAGAGTATACTGGTTTTTAAGTGATTTATGCTTTGAACCAGTTACTACACAGCTGAGTGTTGGTTAGAGCCTCTCTGGCTCCCTTCACATCCTGTCCACCCACTTCCCAGTCCCCTCCTCTCCCGACCGGCAGAGATTTTACTGGACGAGACTCCTAGGTTTTAGGGATTTGTACACACAGTTTTTCAGCCTAAAAGTTCTCCTGTCCACACAGCTAGTTTATCTGCCACATGGTTCTGGTCTTGGTGAGGGTCCCTTCCCCAGGAGACTTCTCTGACCCTAGACCAGGGGGCCTGGGACTGGCCATTGGTAAGTGTTTAGGAAGTTTGCAAGTGGTTATTAAATACAGCCCTTATTAAAAGTTAAATGGTATAAACGTTTACAATTAAGTTATATTCAAAACAAAGGCAACAAATCCTATTATTTCACTACATTTTACTATTATCTATGCTCTTGAGACTATGGGTACAAGAGTTTGGCAAAGATCAGTGAAGACTTTTGTGAGAACCAACTGGCCGAGTGGAATGTACAGCAAAGGGTATCGTATAACACTATCTGTGAATCGTGTGCCACTTATGTATTACATCAGTACAATTTATAATGAACATTTGTGAAGTTTGCTCAACCCTAAGTCTCTAAGTCAAGTCCCCCATTATGTGCCCCACAGCCCAGCACCCTGAACTTGTCCTTGGTAACATTTCTTACAATAATGATTAGTGGCAGCCCTGGCTGGGCAGCTCAGTTGGTTGGAGCGTCATCCCATACACCAAAAGGGTTAGGGTTCGATTCCTGTCGGGGTGCGTGTGGGAAGCAACTGATCAATATTTCTCTGTCACATTGATGTTTCTCTCTCTCTCTCTCTCTCTCCTTCTCTCTCTAAACAAAAAAATTAATAAACATGTCCTCAGGTAAGAATTAAATAATAATAATAATAATGATGAGTGACATAGTTGTTTAATGATCACCTTCCCCAGTAGACCTCCATGGGTCAGGGGCCATGTCTGCCTTTTCACTGTGACAGCTCCAAGAACTCACATGAACAAGCGAGTGAACAAGTGCATCACACAGTTCATTTCTCCTTTCTTCCCTACACCGCTCAGGTGAGCAAGGTGGTCAGGACCACGTACCTTACCAGAAACTCTTCTTCCTGTCCTGTCTTAGGTCAACCGGAGAGGTGAGTCCATTTACCTTCACAACCGCGCCAACTGGGTGGCTGTGGGCATCTGCTCTTCCAGTCACAGCCCCAAGACCCCCAACGTGATGCTGCTCGCACACCGGCCGCCTGCCGCCTGGAACGACGGCGAACCCCTGTTCAGAAGCCTCCTGACCTCGCCAGAGAAGCTGGTGCTCACCAGGTGAGTTACAGCAGGAAGGGGTGAAACGTGTCTCAGAAAAGCACACCCCGGAGCTGGGAACGGAGCGGCGGCGGCAGTGGCTCTCAGGGAGCATCTCGCCTGCGCTCCCTACCACCAGTGACAGAGCCGCACCTCACAGCCTGGGGACATGGTTATGCCGGCCTGGCAGTCAGACAGGAGCTTACATTTTTTTTAATCCTCACCTGAGGATATTTTTCCATTGATTTTCAGATGGAGTGTGAGGAAGGGAGGGAGAGAGAGAAACATTCTTGTGAGAGGGACACACCGATTGGTTGTCTCCCGCAGGACCCCAACCAGGGCCAGGGATGAACCGCAACCAAGGTACATGCCCTTGACCAGAATCGAACCCGCAACTCTCTGGTCTGTGGGCCGACGCTCTAACTGCTGAGCCAAGCTGGCCAGGCTAATTTTTTTTTTAAATTAAATGTAAGTAACAGAAACTGAAGACTCAGACTGTCTCTCTAGAACATGCCCCTCTCCCACCACCTCCTGACTTCTACCAGAATTAACTCAGGCCTTGTCTCAAGCCACCAACTTGCTATATGGCCTAGAGCAGATCACCCAACTTCTCCGTCTCCATTTTGCAGCATTAAATAGGATAGCTTCTCCTGGTAAGTAGTTGACACTCTGATTTTTTAGTACATCAGAGTCTTAGAAGTATGATTCAAGTGGGATAACCCCAGGAGCCCGACAGCATGTACTAAAAATGAAGGTTCAGAGCCTCCTGAGCTAAGGACCAGACCTGGGGACGTGGCAACCACAGGCCGCCCCTGCCCGGCCCTGCCCGGCCCTGCCCAGGCTTGTGTGGAGACAGGCCTGTTGTCCCAAGCTGCCATGAGACAGACAGGAAAGGCCTTTGGATAGGTCTCCAGTGTGGCCTCCGGATGACATTTGCGTTTGTTCGCAGGTTCCTCCCTCTGCAGTTTGTGACTCTGTCCGTGCACGATGCTGAGAACATGCGCCTCAAGGTGAAGCTGGTGAGCGGCCGAGCCTACTACCTGCAGCTCTGCGCCCCTGCCTACCAACAGGACTTCTTGTTTTCTCAGTGGGTGGAGCTCATCTCCCTGTTGAATCAGGAGAAAGCCAAAGCTGCCAAGCTGTCAGAAGTGTCAAGCCTCTCGGAAATCACCAACAGCACAGACATCACGGGCTCGGTGGACATCATGGACATGGAAGAATTCGCAGCTGTGCAGACTCCGTGTGTGCACGCATATTCAGACCCTGAACATGCCATAGAAAATGCTGATTTCTCAGAATTAACGGTCATCACTGATGTCACCGACGTCACGGACGTTCCAGAAAATGAGGTCACTGAGGCCCCAGATATAAGCATTTCCACAGAAGTTACAGAAGTCACAGACCTCCATGATGTCACAAACAGCTCGGGAGTCAGAGTGGTATTTGAAAATGATGACATACGAAGGGCCAAGCAAGAGGAAAAGGTATGTGAGAAAGAAGACTTTCATTCTTTAATAATCAAGAACAAGAGCGATCACCAGGATCACTATTCTGGGACAGTTCCCTGACACCACTCACCAGAACACTATGAAACTTGCTCTGAGTAACCTCGTTTTAATAATGAGATCTGATCCTTGGAGGAACGGAGCTGTCAGGTGTCTCCTGAAATAGCCAGTGACCATCCTTACCACCAAACTTACCCGGGGTCAGAAAGCTATGGTGGGATGGGAGGCCTCTGGGTCAGAGTCAGAGACCAGCGTGGAGTCTCGCCCTGCGACAGATGAGCCTCAGCCTCCTCATCTCTGAGATGAGGGTATAAGTATCATGTAAGGGCTGTTTTAAGATTCAAATGTACATAAAAGGATGCAGTACATTGAAGGATGCAGTACATTAGTCGGTAAAAGTGAAAGTGGAAATAGGAAACTAGAATACCAAAAGAAGTGAGAGGCTCTAGAAAGAGCCAGAAAGTGGAAAAAACATGGAGCCATGTTTAAAAACAGTTATATTTGGCTGGAGCATAATATATGTGGGTTATATTAGGATATAGGATTGAAAAATTGCTTCCAAACCTTTAATGCCAAAATAAGAAGTGTGGATTTCAGTCTTTGGGCAAACCTTAGGCACATAGCCCTTTCTGTAAGAGTGTGAAGGAGCTGTGTGTGTAAAAGATTAATCTATTGGCAGAATGGATCGTAGGTAATCAATTTGAAGACTATTGCAGAAAACCTCCATAGGGCCCACAATAAAAATTAAACAGTGGCAAAGGGCAAGAAAGAAATTGCACAGAAGAAGAAACTTCCAATAGATACAGTGGGAAAAGTTTAACCTCACTAGTAATCAAAGAAATACAAACTTTATAAAATCTATAAAACTGTTCATTGAAAGAATAGTAGTAGTCAATGTTAGTAAAGCAGTGGTCAACGTGGAAGTCATTTAGATTCAGGGGAGGGATGTGAACTGCTACAAACCTTCTTGAAATAATTTAGAATCAAGAACCTAAAAATGGCCCTGGCCGGTTTGGCTCAGCGGTTAGAGCGTCGACCTGCGGTCCGGAGAGACCCGGGTTCGGTTCCTGCTAAGGGCACGTACCTCGGTTGCAGTTTGTCCCCGGCCCTGGTCGGTTGTGCGGGTGGCAGCCACTCAATGTGTCCCTTTCACATTGATGTTTCTCTCTCTCTCTCTCTGTTCCTCTCCCCGCCCCCCCCCCCCCACTCTACCTGAACAAAAAATGGAAAAATGTCCTCGGGTGAGGATAAAAAAAAAAAAAAAAGAACCTAAAAATGTTTGTATCCTTTGACTCAACTCAGTGATTCCACTTCTAGGGATCTTTCTAAAGGAATTAAATAGAAACAGGAATGAGGATTCAGCTATAAACATATGTTAATCATTACACATGTAAGCCATGTTTATAAAAATGAAACAAGGAAAACACAGAAGTAACCTAAATGTCTGCAACAGGAGAAATGGCTAAATATATAAAAATACATTTACACACAGAGACAATAGAAGGGGGAAATATCACATTGTTAATAGTAGTTTTTTTCTGAATTTGGGGATTATAGTCAATTTATGTTTTCTTCAGTTTCCTGAATTTTCTGTTTTCTACAATGAAAATAATTAATTTTTAATTAGAAGAATTCAATTTTTAATGATATAAGGAAAATCCTTATAATAAATTGTTAAATGAAAAGTGTGCAATATGCAACAGAAATATGATCACAAAACAGACACATACAAAACAAATAAATGGACAAAAAGACCCTTTGAAATGTGTGATAGGAGTAGTTATTTCTGGCCAGTAGCATCAAGCAAGCAATAATTTTCTTCCTTTCACTTTATATCTTACAGGATTAAAAAATTATTCTACAAATAAATATGTATTACTTTCATTATCAGACAAAATGAAGTTTTTAGGAAGGAAATTACTGCACTATTTTCCAGGCAAGGTAGCGGAGGGGACGGCCGGGTGGGTCAGACGCAGGGGATGTAGAAACATGGTCTCAGCACCGGCTCGCCCCCCGCCCCCGCCCCCGCCCTTGCTCCCAGGCTGAGATCCAGGAAAGCGGTGAGGACCCCGGAGCTGGCGCTTCATGGACACCAGGACATCAGGAGAACGGGAGAGGTTTCAGGGTATTAAGTTTTAGGCAGAGGTTCTAAGTCTTTTGAAAAACAAACTCTGTGGTATTATTATGAACCTCTAACTGCTCTCACCTATTAGATGCTCTTAAATCAGCAACAGCCTCAGAATGGGGAGTCGGTAGCAAGGCGTTTCTAGAAAACCTTCCTTTCCCTGAAATTCAGAGCGAGGAAGTGCTGTAATCAAGTACTGCTACTCCTGTGTGGGCTGACTTTGGTACATGACCACACGAGCTTTTCAATGTGCCGTGTCAGGTCCCCACACTGCCAGCCTCTGACACCACCTGGCCTCGCGCTGGCCACGGACAGCCAGCCTCGTTCCCTGCGGCACCTGTGCATCCAGGGCACCCCGTAAATGGATGCAACGATGACTGTTTTAGATTCGGCTCCATAAATAACCTGTTTCTGTATGCTGCTCTTCTGTTCCTGATTTGCTGCTGCTTATTATTTTCAAAGGAAAAAATGAAAAACATTCTGAAGCCTGGGTGTCTACAAGGTACAAAAAGTAAGAATGAGTTCAAAGAATTCTCAAAACACGTCACCATCTCAAACGTGACACTGACTTTCGAAGGTGAAAGATGTTTTGAAACTATCTTGACTCCAGAACACAGTGAGACAAATACATTCACAGAGAAGAGTGATAGAACCTTGGAAATGAGGACAACAGATTTTAAAAGCGCGGCTCTCAAGGCTGAAGAGTCCAGGTACGTGAGGCCGGGAAGTGCGGGGTGCTCGCACTGAGGTAGTGTAAGTGTGAATGAGCGTGTCCTTTAAAGTCCCTACAACTCGGGCATTTGTGGCTGAAGAGTCTGAGACATAGATACAATATAATTGATTGATATCATCAACTCTTAATTATCCCCATTTGATTCAATCTCATCTAATGTTTATTTTCACCCCACTTCCCACACCATTCAGTTGACGTTCTGGGCTGTCTGCCTAGTGTCACCTGTGTGTGCTGAAGAAAAGAGACTAGAGTCACAGGGTCCACATTCAGGAATTAGGGGACTCGATTTCTAGAGTGACGATGGGTGTTTTTTCTTTTAGCTTTATATTTCTCTATTTTTCTCCTCTATACATCCCTTATACTTTCCTACATTTCCAACTAATAATTTAATAATCTGAAAACACTATTTTCATAACTTTACTATTCAATTGCCAGATGAATGGGAAAACCCTGGCCGGTTAGGCTCAGTGGTAGAGCAACGCCCGAGGACCAGTGAGTCTTGGGTTCAATTCCGGACAAGGGCACGTACCTCAGTTGCGGTTTGTCCCCAGCCCTGGTTGGGGTCATGTGGGTGGTGACCACTTGATGCGTCTCTGTCTCATTGATGTTTCTCTCTCTCTCTTCTTCTCTCCCTCCTTCTCTATTTCAAGATAGATACAAACGTGTCCTCAAGTGAGGATTAAAAAAGAGAGAGAATGTATTTTTCAAAAACAACTATAAAAATCAAATATTTAGTGAAAGTGATAAGAGATCTATATAACTAGAATTACAAAATTTTAATGGCAGCACTAAACAACAACTTGAATAAGGAAACTCAGATCTCTGTGTGGACTAGTAGATTTAAGACAGCAAAGATTATAGGACCTCCTAAACAGATTTATAGATTTAATACAATACCAATTTATCTCAATAGGCTATCTCATAGAAATTATAAAAGTTTTAAAAGTATGTGGAAAAGATAGGGGTAAGAATAACAAGTAAACTGCCATGGGGGTTTGGTTTAGCAGTAGAGTGTCGGCCCATGGACTCATGAGTCCCGGGTTCAATTCTGGCCAAGGGCACATACCTTGGTTGCAGTTCGTGCCGACCCTGGTCAGGTCATGTGGGAGGCAGCCAGTGGATGTGTCCCTCTCATGTCAATGTTTCTCTGTCTCTCCATCTCTCTCCCTCCCTCCCACTCTATCTGAAGATAAATAGAAAAATATCCTCAGGTGAGTTTGAAAAAGAAAAAGAGCGCCCTGGCCAGTTTGGCTCAGCGGTTAGAGCTTCGGCCTGCGGTCCGGAGAGACCCGGGTTCGGTTCCCGCTAAGGGCACGTACTTCAGTTGCAGTTTGTCCCCGGCCCTGGTTGGTCGTGCGGGTGGCAGCCACTCGATGTGTCCCTTCACGTCGATGTTTCTGTCTGTCTCTCCCTTCCTCTCTCTCCCTCCCACTCTATCTGTACAAAAAAAAATGGAGGGATGTCCTCGGGTGAGGATAAAAAAAAATAAAAATAAAAAATAAATAAAAAAATAAATAAAAAGAGCCCTGGCCGGATTGGCTCAGTGGTTAGAGCATCGGCCTGCGGTCCGGAGAGACCCAGGTTCAGTTCCCGCTAAGGGCATGTACCTCAGTTGCAATTTGTCCCTGGCCCTGGTTGGTTGTGCGGGTGGCGACCACTCGATGTGTCCCTTTCATATCGATGTTTCTCTCTCGCTCTTCCTCTCTCTCCCTCCCACTCTACCTGAACAAAAAATGGAAAAATGTCCTCAGGTGAGGATGATAAAATAAATAAATAAAGAAAAAAGAAAAAGAGAGAGAATATCAAGTAAACTATTGGGAATGAAAAATGTCTAGAGGGAATTGGTCTCATAAAATCTTAAGCCATATTGTAATTAAAACACCAGTGCCACCCTGGCCGGTTTGGCTCAGTGGTTAGAGCATTGGCCTGCGGACGGATGAGTTGCAGGTTCGATTTTAGTCAAGGACACGTACCTCAGTTGCCACTTGATCCCCAGCCCTGGTCAGGGTCATGCAGGAGGCAACCAGTCGTGTCCAATGTGTCCCTCTCACATCAATGTTTCTCTCTCTCTTCCTCTCTCCCCCTCCCTCCTACTCTATCTGAAGATAAATAGAAAAATATCCTCAGGTGAGTTTAAAAAACATACAAACAATAACAAAAAAAAAACAGTGCCTAGTTTAGAATATAGAAATAAAGATAGAAAAATAAAATCAAACTAATATGAGTTCAAAAGACACATTAAAAAGCAAAATTCTAGCTCTGGCTGGTTTGGCTCAGTGGTTAGAGCGTCAGCCCGCAGATCAAAGAGTCCTGAGTTCGGTTCTAAGGGCACGTACCTCCGTTGCAGTTTGTCCCCGGCCCCGATTGGGGTCGTGTGGGTGGCAACTACTCAATGTGTCTCTTTCACATCAATGTCTCTCTCTCTCTTCCCCCCTCCCTCCCTGTCACTCTATCTGAAGATAAATGCAAAACTATCTTTGGGTGAGGATATAAAAAAAGCAACAAAGTAAATTTTCACCTGTAAAATTTGTGTTTGATTCATTATGTTGATATTTAAACTCAAAGTTTGGGATTTTTATTTACCTCTTTTAAGATGTGAATAAAAACATTTAAAAAAAAGCAAATATCTAGAAAATGTTAGTCAAAGATTTATGCTGTACCACAAAAAAATTTCAGATGGGAAAAGAGTAATATATTTTATTTATTATTTTTTTAAAAAATCCCAAATATAAAATATATGTGCTGGGGCCAAACTGCAACCGAGGTACGTGCCCTTAGCGGAAACCGAACCCGGGACTCTCTGATCTGCAGGCCGACGTTCCAACCACTGAGCCAAACCGGCCCCAGCAAGAGTAATATATTTTAAAACTAAAATAAACTAGAAGAAAATGGAATGGTAGCATTGCCTTAGTCCCAAAGGAAAGTTCATTTCTTGGCCACTGAAGCAATGAAGAAATTTTCATGGCAAACTTTGGTTCATTTATTCAATGATACGTGCTGAGCACCTTCTATATGCTAGGCACTGGGAACACAGCAGTGAAAACAATCAAGTCCCTATCTCATGAAGTGTTTTATTCCAGTAGCAGATACAGATGATAAAATATATCATAGATCTGAAATGTGCTGTGATAAAACAAAAATAAAGTAATAGAATAGAGAGTGATTTGAGGAGGGAGGAGAGATTCTATACAGGTGGTCAGGATGGCTTCTCTGACGAAGGGCAGAGATCTGATATGAGCAGAAATCTGAAGGAAGCATGGGGCTCTGGGGGAATAGAGTTCCAAGCTGAATGACTGTGTAACAGTTATAAATATCTGCCAAATAAATAATTTTAAATAAAGAAATACAAAACACAGTGGGAAAATAATAGTAACAGATAATCTATTATTCCTGCCATATTTATAGATAGCTAATGTGAATTTTTAAATAATTCATTTAATAAATGTTATGAATAAAAATTTACTCCAGCCCTGGCCGGTTTGGCTCAGCGGTTAGAGCGTTGGCCTGCGGTCCTGAGAGACCCGGGTTCGGTTCCCGCTAAGGGCGCGTACTTTGGTTGCAGTTTGTCCCCGGCCCTGGTTGGTTGTGCGGGTGGCAGCCACTCGATGTGTTCCTTTCACATCGATGTTTCTCTCTCTCTCTCTGTTCCTCTCTCTCCCTCCCACTCTACCTGAACAAAGAATGGAAAAATGTCAAAGAAATAAATACTTTAGAAGGGATCAATCTCACTAATAGTTTTTAAAAATACAAGTTAAGCAGTTACAGTTGGGTTTTTATTAGATGTTACTAACACCGATGGTTGTCACCATAAATGGTGGGAGCTGTCTACAGAGTGAGTTGGCAATTCACACTACAGATGATTATACCCCTTGACATACCAAAGAAATAGTTATTTTAAATAACATATTCAACATAGTGTCTTGTAGTTAAAACCTATAAGTAATCCAAAGGACCACGGGTATATTAATTTAGTGAAAGAGCAGGTCCCCATTAGGAAAAGCAATTGGAGAATTTCAATGTAAAGAGCTATATGACTAAAAAGGATTTATAAACTAGAAAAGTAAAATTCCAAAAAATGTATATCCAATGGTATTTTATTTCTACAGAGGATGGTAAGAAACCACAGAGTTTAGGCATAGTTGGTGATTTAAAAAATTGGTATTTTTTGTAACTATTAACACATGTTCCTATTAAACTTTTATTATACAATTAATTACACATATAATTTAAAAACCAAACAGATGCGAGGATGAATTCATTAGACGCATTACTTGGAAGGCACAGCAGTTGGAGAATGGGTTTTGCAGGCAGACATCCCTGGTTCCCGTCCTGGCTCTTCTGTTCTTACCTGTGTACGACCTTGGGTAGAACTCAGTGTTTCCAGGTCTTAGTTTCTTCATTTGTAAAATTGGAATTACACCTACCATGTTCAGTTGTAGGGATTTAAAAAGCTGATATTAAAAAGTTCACAATGCCAGGCACATGGTAATTGCTTACCAAAAAAAAGAATAGACAAATCAAAAGAGAGAGGGAGGAAAGGAAAGTTAGAGGGAAGGAAGGGAGGGAGGGAGGAAAGATTCAGATTGTACATTAGACTAAACAAATCTAATATAGTTTGACTCACATTGAAAATAATTCAAAGATGATTCTATACCACATAGCATCCCCAAAGTAAGTTTCCACTATATTATCTAATATACTCAACCTAGAGAAGAAAGTGGAGGAAAAAAGCACAAAAATTATATAGTAAAAAAAACCAGGTTATTTAAACAAAGGAGGAAAATGCTAATAGGTGACAGTTACCATCTTCAATGTATGAGAAGTTCACAGAAGGCTAAATTTAAAAATAAATTTAAAGTAAAAATTATATTAGCTAAACACAAAGGAAAATTTTATTATACAGAAAAGTAATATAGCAGACAGCCAACAAATCAATAAAAAACAATAAGTTAATGCATGTCATTGATTAGATGTTAATAAACAATAGAACTGGTTTCTGGAGTTGTGGAGTCTT